CGGCTCACGGCTACGATTCTCCTCACAGGTCAACCGACCCCTCACCATGAAAAAAGACGGCATTCAGACTCGCAACAGGAAAGTGTCCAACAAGAACAAGAAGAGCAAGAAGGCGGCCATGTTCGCCGAGGCCGCTCAGCCGCATTCGGCCGAGGACAACGCCGGGCCTTTTGCCCTCGGCCACGCCGCTCTCCTGACTTACGGCCACGCGCCGCACCTCATTCCGGGCCAGTCGACTCTGCACGCCTCTGCTCCCTTGGCGTACCCGCACCACCGCAACCCGGGCATGGTGCCCACTTTAGTCTGAAGGAGGGCGACATTTTCACTTCACTCAACTTTTGACTGTGTGTGTGTGTGTGTGTGTGTGTGTGTGTGTGTGTGTGTGTGTGTGTGTGTGTGTGCGCGGAATTGACCATGACATGTGAACAACAGGCATATCAATAAAATGTGTGAATTCACGTGTCGTTGCACAACGAGGGTCACGGGATGATTGTCATTTTTTTTTTTTTTGCATTCATTAAACTCTGCTCAGATGTTTTGCGTACGATCGCGGCATTGAATGGGGTCGCTGAGTTTTGACTGCTGAATGCAAGCAGAGTGCTTTATGCAAATTCAATCACACACATACACACAAAGGTGAAAATCAAGCCAAGTGTGCCGAGCGCGCATCACAGTTGTAACAGTTTAGATATTTGTTTTCGAGCTCATCACTTTTTGTGTGCATTGCTTTAACAGTCTCTCTGATGTTTGGTGTGTGCAAGACACGAGAGCTCTTTAACCATCTCGTTTTTGCCAGTGGATGGAAATAACGGTACAGAGTACAGATCCTTTGTTCCTGTACTAAAGTCGATTTTTCAAGTATCTGCACTTGACGTTTTTTTTCTTCCGATGACACTCTACTTTTACCCCCTCCCCTTTCAAAACAAATATGACACAATATAGATGCGGAGAAGTGAGATATTCCCCACCCATGGCCTCATTTAGAAAGTTGTTTAACATTGTCGGCTCTGCGTATGAAAAGGAAGAAAATGGTGTCAAAACCAGCAGGGGTTCAAAAACTCTCCATCCAATAGAAACAAAGCCCACTTTGAGTCACGTGCGTTCCTTTCAGTTGTTATCATTTTATTTTTGTTCTTCAGTTCACATTAGCAAAGCCATGTCAACACGTTGTTTTGATCGCATGTTTGGTGATGTATTTGTCATCTCGGTATCGGCGCAAATGAACAAAGGAGAGACATTCTTGGACGTGGAGATTAGTTTTATCCCACAATGCAATGTTTTCTCCTTTCACACAAGTCATTGATTTGATGGAGTATTTGTCTTATTTTGCACTTGAGTACGAATGTGAGTAATTTTGCCAGCTCCGACTATCGCGGCTATAGTTTGCTGCAGCGTAGAAAGAAATGGCATTCCGCTGAGAGCATAGCGGCTTACTTTGCGTGAGGTTTTGTACACCACTTGTGGATGTCACAACCACAGTAGAGCAAAGCTGGCTAGTAGATTTCATGGGGAGAAGCAGAGCTGTTTTCACATGACCGAGGAGGATGGCTGATTAGTTATCAGCGGGGCTGCAGACCTCAAACCAGTCACCTGCAACTGGCGGCACCACGCTCACCGCTCTTGGCAAGTGGAACGCTGTGCGCGTAACAGTAAAGTTTATTGAGGACATTTCAGAGTGAGAGTTGCAAGAAACAGAACAACAATTAGTTTTAAGTTCAATGTATGTTTTACACGTATTTTAAACGTGCATTGACAAAGAAAGAACTCCTGGCATTTTGTTGTCGGTGTGAAAATTCCTCAAACAAAATACATACATTAACGGCGTGTGCAGTATACCGGTTAAAATGTCTAAAATCCACAATCGGATAAATCTAAAATCCATTTGAGTCGAGAAATAGGCCGAATTTGACCACTGATTTAAGGCAACGGGCAGGTATGTGCGGTATGGAAGGGCACAGGTGGGTAAGGTGGACCAAGACCATTTAAAGATGTATAGACAAATAAAAGTATCTTAAAATGAACTTTAAAATGTACACGGAGCCAGTGATGGTTGTACAGAATTGAAGTTATGTACTCCCTCCGACGAGCTCCACTTAGGAGGTGAGCAACAGCATTTTGGACCAACTGGAGACGCTTGAAGGAGGACTGGCTGACTCCAAAACAATGCGCATTGCGGTAATAGAGTCGAGAGGTAAGGAAGGCATGGATCACTACTTTTGAGAAATAAGGGCCTTTATTTGATACAAACAACTAGATTTAACAAGAGCACCATTTGTGGTCCAATTTAAAATCACTGTCCAATTGAAGACCCAAATTCAATACTGTTGGCTTTAGATAAGATGCCAGGTGGGCCAAGTCAACAGTATGAGAATGTACTAGGGCCGCTGGGCCCAAACACCATCATTTCTGTTTTCTTTTTGTTGAAGTTTAGTTCCATCCAGACTTTAATTTCCTAAAGACAGGACAAAAGTGGCCAGAAGAGGAAAGCATCCGTTTTGCTTCGCGGGATGTACTGTAGATCTGACTGTCATCTGCTTTACAGTGAAAGGAAATATTCTTTCTTATGGCGGAAACCAGGGGCAGCATATAAAATGAAAAGAGCAAGGGCCTCAAAATTGAATCCTGTGGAACGCCATACAACAGTATGGCAGAGTGGGACTCAGAGGAACCAAGGCTACACAAAATGTGCCGCCTGCCAAATAAGATCTATACCACTCTAGAGCGCGACCACTAACAACCACCTGGTGCTGCAAACGATCCAACAGAATACTGTGGCCCGCCTTATGGAACGCTACCGCGACAGTGGGTCCAACAAAACAAGACACACATAGACATTATCAATTGTCATAAGGGGCTACATTTGACCTGAATACGACAAGTCACGCAGATCTGTGATGCCCGCCTTATGGAACACTACCGCTACAGTGGGTCCAACAAAACAAGACACAGACATTATCAATTGTCATAAGGGGTTACATTTGACCTGAATACGACAAGTCACGCAGATCTGTGATTTGATTCAGAAAATTCATCATCGTCATTATTTTACTATAGCTAGATTTTGGTAAGTAAATTGAAATGTCGTCGTCATTATTTTACGACAGTTACATTTTGTGGCCTTTTTTTGAATGTTGTACCGTAAGATTTTTCTAACGTAAGACGTGCCTTGGCCAGCCATTTTCAGACCCTTTCAGACCCTTTTCACACGACGAGTCACGCAGACCTGTGATTTGATTCAGTAAATTCGTCATCGTCATTATTTTACTCTAGTTAGATTTTGGTAAGTAAATTGAAATGTCCTCGTCATTATTTTACTACATTTACATTTTGTGGCCTTTTTTTGAATGGTGTTGTACTGTAAGATTTTTCTCCCGTAACACATGTGTGCCTTGGCCAGCCATTTTCAGACCCTTTTTAAGTACTGTACAGTCAATATAAAATGAGGAACTGGGATTAAATGTGTGGCGTCTGAAGAGACATCTAAATACGTCTTTGGGAGTGAATGAGTTAAAATTAAAGGCGGGGAAACACTCGCCTCGAGTCAAGTCAGTACTCAACGTTGTCCTAAAATGTTAAGACATAATAGTGGGACACGAGCGCCCCGGAAAGGAAAAAAACGACACGACTACCTTGCTTAAAGGCCGGGAAACACTTGCCTCGCGTCAAGTCAGTACTCAACCTTGTTGTTAAACATAATAGTGGGACAGGAGCGCCCCGGAAAGGAAAAAAAAGCCACTACAACCCCCCCCCCCCCCCACCCAACAAACCCAAAGAAAAAACCCACCACCACACACACACACACAGATCCGCGCCCCAACTGACATACAGGATGCTTTGCCTTGACCCCTGCTGCTGAAAGATAAGAATGGCGTGTGGTGTGGTGTGTGTAATTGGCAGTTATGTATTTAACACTCTACGAATTCCTCTGCTCCAATATTGATAGCCTGCATACGTACTCAAGTCCAATGCCGTCGTGTTAAACTTAAACGAAAACAGAATACAATGATTTTCAAATCATGTTCAACCTCTATTTTAAATGAATACATCCATAAGTGCAACTTAAAACTCTGCTATACAAGCACAAACCATTTATCAACAACATCCAGAAACTTCCAATGCCATCGTGTTAAATTTAAACGAAAACACAATACAATGATTTTCAAATCATGTTCAACCTCTATTTTAAATGGATACACCGTCTGGACAAGATTTTTAATGTTCACGCTGATCAATTGTATAATCCTTCGCTTTTGTCCTAACCTTACGCGACTTCAACGAGTTGACGCTTTGATGCAATTTGACGAGCGGCCACTAACCGGAAGTGCCGCCCTTGAACGTGACGTACTTCCGAGCCATGAATATGTCGCCCTGCAATTTTTATGATATTGTCCACAATTACGTTCAGGGAAGTCAAAAGGAAAATGATACAGTCACGATGGTCAAACTGAAATATCTGTTGCCGTATTAATAGGGATTTGATTCATGTAATTTATGTTGTTCTTTGCATCTCACATTTCAAGTTACTGAAATAGCTAGGCAAAGGGATTCAAGGAAGCATCACGAATCAGTTACATGACATGCGTGACTTAAGTGACGTTGACATTTTACTTTTGAGTGTTTAGGGGGTGCCACCCACTTTTACGTTGTCTCCAAAGTGAAGATGTTTTCAATTGGAAAGGCACTAGATTTAATGTATATATATTTTTTATGACTAAATGAAAATTTCACAGACTCCACTTTCCTTTATTTATAAATGTTTAATTGAAAATGTGTACATAAGCAATTACTATACATTTTCCAAATATTGAAATCCAATACAGGTTTAATACCGTTGATCAAAAATATATATATCTGAGAAATGAGACCACGTCTAGTTTATAGGTGGACAGGTTATAAGGTGGGTGGAGGGAAAATAAAGAACATAAAGTATATACAGTACAATGAAACCCTGGAACAACGTTTATTTGTGGGACATTTCTTTGCATTGTTGTCCAACTAAAAGCGGGAATCTCCAATGAAAAAACAAGACAGAAAATAATGATTTATTATTAAATATAATAACAGCAATGACCAAATTTGGAGGGACACGCATTTCATCGGGCAACAATGGAAAGATCTTTCAGACAACATGAACAAGGCACTAAGTATCACGGGTTTGTATTTTCATCTTGCAAAAATCTTTTATTGGCGCTCGAAGACTCTGCTGCGTTGACTGCTTCCTTGTCTCCTGCGTCTGTCCAGCGGGCCGGCTGGTTCTCTTCTGTCTCTGTCGAGTTGAGTGGTGGCTGCTCTGCCGTGTCTTTCGAGTCACCTTGCTGTTTCTCTCCCGTCAGTGTGGAGTCAGCTTGCGACTTCTCCAACGTTTGTGTCGGCTCGCATGCTTGCTTCTCCTCCGCCTGGGTCGAGTCGCCGGGTTGCTTCTCCTCCGCCTGTGTCGAGTCGCCAGGTTGGTTCTCCTGCGCCTGCGTCGAGTCGCCGGGTTGCTTCTCCTCCACCTGTGTCGAGTCGCCAGGTTGGTTCTCCTGCGCCTGCGTCAAGTCGCCCGGCTGCTCCTCCGCCGTCAGCGTCGAGTCGCCTGGCTGCTCCTCCGCCGTCAACGTCGAGTCGCCTGGCTGTCGAGCTTCACTCTCGCGCAGGTCCGAGTCGCCATTTCTCTTCGCAATGGGCGTCTGCTGGATTTCTGGCTCACTGTCTGAGTCAATCAAAATGGGCTCAGTGCACACGTTCTTCGCCACGGAGGACGCGTGATGAGAGCTTCGGACCATGTTTGGAATACCAGACTTGAGTCGGCCCGGCCTCCCCGCTGAAGTGATTTCAATGCGGACGGTCTGAAAGTCAATGTCGTGTTTGACTTTCTTGAGGGCCTGCATGTCAAATCCAAGCAGCACAGACACGTTTGACTTCTCACATTGGCTTCTGCATTCTTTCTGCATCGTTGCAAAGTGCTTACAGATGTGAGACTTCCATATCCAGAGGCTGGCCGACAGTTTCTTCTCTTCAGCGGGGGAAAGATAAGGTCGCTGATTGAAGTAAGACTGGAGGAACTTTTTACGAGCCTCAAATGTCTTGTGCTCGTTGTTTTTAGGATCCACGACGAGGTCCCCGGTGCCGGTCTTCTTGACCGTGGCGGAAGGAAACATTGAATCTTCGCTCAGTTTGATCTTCTTGGCGTAAGTGGCCATTCGCGTTGGCAGTGTTCTCTTGAGCAGGGGCGCGCCGGCCGAGTTCAGGGTCAAGGGCGACTTGGTGCCTAGACTCGCTTGCTTCCTTCCCACCGCTCTGCACTGGACAAGATGTAGCGTAATGGTGGAAGCTACCATGTTGCTGGTGTACACTCCCAGGCAATGGATGCACTTGTACGTCATCTTCTTTTCGACGGGGTGCATCGTCTGCAGCACCTGATGTCGCTGCCTCAGGTGAAGGGCCAAAGCGTTCGGCGTGGCCTCTTTCACAGGTGTGCAGCAAAGTGGACACATCGTCTTGCTGCCGTCGACCACGTCCCTCGGCGTCGAGAGCATACTTTCGAGTGCTTGCGTCTTCATCGCCGCGAGGGAAGGCGCCGCTTTGCCGAGAGGAGCGACGGTCTTGTCTTTGCCCTCCGACTCGTTCATGTTAAAGGTGAGAACGTGAAGCTGGACGTTTTGTTTGATGGTGAGATCGAACGTGAGCGGCGCTGATCCGGGAGGTCCCACAAAAACATTCAGGTGGGACAGGCGCTCGTGCTCAAGGAGTTTCTCCACACTGTGGAAAGCAGAGTGGCACTGCGGACAAGTGATGCCATGGACGAGCAGATGGTTGAGCAGAGTGTCACTGGGCAGGTAGCGGTTGCAAAGCAAACACTTGCTGGTGAAGTTGTGGATTTTCATGATGTACTTGGCCATGGCCCACACGATCCTCGCCTTGTGCGCGCTTTCAAAATGAGCGCTGTAGAGGGTCTCGGGAAAGAGCTCGTTGCACACGGTACATATCTTCCACTTCTGTGTCTGGGAAGTGTTGACGCCAGGCACGTTGCCATCAGCCGCAGCGCTTGAGGGGGCTTTCGCGCTGACCTGTTTGGCCGCCCCCAAAGACTGGCTTTTGAACACGGGGGCCGAGGGCTTTAAGTAGCCAATGACCGGCTGTGCTTTGGCGTGAACTGCCAGAGAGGACCCCCCGTTGAGAATCATAGACGACTTCTGCGACATGCTGGGCAAATTGGAAACCATGACGTTAGCGTGTCCAATCATGGCGGTGACCTGAGCGCCCATGCGCTCGTGGTATTCGATGACGTGCTGCACCAGCGACTCGTAGGTCTTTGTGGTGAACTTGCAGCGTTTACACAGGATGTTGTCGCCGTTAAAAGACGCGCCGTTCGGAAGTGACGTTTTGGGAATCATGCGCAGATACGGTGCCACGACGTGCTTAAAATGTTCCCGGTAGATGTGCTTTCTCACGGAATTGTAGAGACTGTCTCGGTAGGAGCACTTTTTGCAAAAGTACAACGACCTCGTCGTGCCGAGGCCAGACTTGTTGGCGGCCACTTGTCTCTGTTTGACTGCATTGATCCTCGACATCTGCTGGTCCAATTTGTCCTTGTGAAACACTCTAACATGGATCTCCAAGGTTCTCTTGTTGGCGACAAATGTGCAGTGAGAACAGTTGAGAAGAACTTTATCCTGAATCAATCTCTTGTGCGCATGGCGGAAGTGATTCTTGTAACCCGCGTAGGTTGCGGATGAAAACTGACATTCTCTGCAGCAGTAAGGCCTTGACCGATAGTTCTAGACGGAAAAAGGAGAAACACGGCACGGTGTGATGATTTCAACAGGAGCAGTACAGAATGTTCAACAAGAAAAAGAGCTTTACCTGTATTTTGGAGAACGACGGATGCCAGACACATATATCGGTGTACACGGTCTCATTAAAAACATTCTCGCCGGGATTAAAATCCTTAAACTCCTGCACAGAAAAAAAACAAACCACGCGGGTCAAAAACAAGTCCATAATATGAAAGAACTCGCGGAAGAAATACAACGAATGCACACTCACATTTGCCGCCTCCTTGCAGTACTCCAGTCCAATATCTTTAAGTGCAATTTTCACTTTTTTCCTGGCTTTCCTCAGTTTTGTCAAGTCGTTCACAGGGATTTGATACATCTCGCCTGACAAACACATTGACAACGTCCACATCGTTTAATTCACATGATCTTCAACACACATCTCGGAGAATAACACATATTTGATCAAAAACTATCCACGGGATTGTCCCTGAGGCCCGGTTCTGTTTGGGCGGGCTAGCATCCATAAAGGCGTTTCAAATGACTGGGAGAGAACCGGTGTGCGTGTCGGCGCGCTCTGGAGCATGCAGCCTACCCGGTACACACCTTCGGCCGAACGTATTGGCGATAGTGAGCGCAAGGAAGTTTCATTTTGTCAACTTTGTGCATCAAGGATGATGTCGTGGCTAACATTAGCTGTTGTGTTAGCTCCCCTCGGTTCGGTTCGCCCTCTTAGAGAGTTACAGCATCCCCATGGACATGAGCGGTATTGCTTTTGCTTCGTTCTGGGTGCATTTTACTCACTGGGTGATAAGCCAGGTCGTCCGATAAACCCCCGTCTATGAGCGACGAAAGACAAATGTGGCGGGCCTGCGGATACTTCCTCTGTTCAAGAAGCCGGTGCCGATGCTCTGTTCAGCGGCTAGTTTACAAGCTAGCTAGCTTGCAGTTATCACCACCGCTCGGATTTCCGCAGAGGGCCGACGGAAGAAGGGTGGACGCGATGAGAAAAGGGATGCAAGTCATGCAGACTTATGCAAACTGACGTCGTCCACAACGGTTATGTCAGCACCACCCAATGCGAGAAATGAAAGCCGCTAGCGTGCCAGAGGAAGGTAACACGCCAAAGTAAACCAACTCCAAATCCAAAATGGCGATTGGTGGGCGGAAGTCGTAAGAGGCAGTTGTCTCCACAGCCAGTGTTGAATTTCACTTCTTAATTCTAAATGGTTTTATTTTCAGATTTAAATGGCTCTGTTTTATCATCCTGTGTGGCATATTCAGCAATACTCACTTCAAGCAAGATTAGGTATGCCTGCCTCCTGTGCACACAACATGTTCTGATTCACGGTTAATGGACACACAGTGGGTCCAAAGTAGGTCAACACAGCACTTCAAATTAGTTTTAGTTGATCACTTTTATCAAAGTTATTGCGCATTTATCAAACGTAGTTAAATCTCGTAAATCACCAGAGTCAAAATTACGGCTTTGGGGTCAGATTTGGCCTACCACTTAATTTCATGGGCCTTGCTAAATCATGTGCGTCCTGTTCATGGTTCTTTATAAAAAAAATAACGCCTTGCGTGCATTTTTTTTTTTTTTGGTTTATAAAAAATAACGCCTTGCATGCATTTTTTTTTTTTTTTTTTGGTGACCAAACTCATTTTTTATGACATGAAGTGTGTATTCTGCTCATATTCAGTCATGCTTATCACATGAAGTGTGTATTCTGCTCATATTCAGTCATGCTGTATAACTTTCCCATGCCCGCAGTGTAGCCTGGCGTCCTTGAAGCAATTGTCACTGAAAATTGGAACACTCACTACTGGAGACGCACAAACATTGGAATGCACCAGTTGATACAACCAGTTGAAACGGTTTAGTAGAAACAAAAGTTATGATGTCACACCTTGTGTCTCGGTACCGCCCTTCTGATAATATAAATATGATGTGAATCCCTTCCTGCTTCGCTCTCGTGACCCCCGCAGCCATTGTCTGTAAACCGCGGGTGCCCGGAATATTCTGTTATTAAAAGCTTCGAAGAAAATACTCATCTACTCCAGCCTGTATTTGGATAACCAACATTCTCCTCGTCCGAAATTCAACGAACACGCGGGGGAAAGAAGGCCGCTTTCCCCCAACAGACGCTAGAAAAAAAATTGTTGAACAAGCCATTTTCCTTGACTTCCACCTTTATCCAGACCCTCATGAAAATTTTGTCCTTGGGAAATGCATATCCCCCAACCAACTTTCATGGAAATCGGTAATTTTCTTTTGTGTGTGTGTGTGTGTGTCTATGTGTGTGTGCATTGTAATGTTACTGCTTAAAAAAAATTGAAAGGACTGCTGTGCAAAAGTATGGTAGTCTGAGAATGTGGTCCTGGGGTACTTACTAGAAAAATCCCTTGTATGATATGCAGCAGTTTTACGCAACTCCAACAAGCCATTTTCCTTGACTTCCACCTTTATTCAGACCCTCATGAAAATTTTGTCCTTGGGATGTGCATATTCCCCAACCAACTTTCATGGAAATCTGTAATTTTCTTTTGTGTGTGTGTGTGTGTGTGTGTCTATGTGTGTGTGTATTGTAATGTTACCGCTTAAAAAAATTGAAAGGACTGCTGTGCAAGAGTATGGTGGTCTGAGAATGTGGTCCTGGGGTACTTACTTGAAAAATCCCTTGTAGGAAAAGCTAAATCTAATGAAAACCTCCTTGTATGATATGCAGCAGTTTTACGCAACTCCAACCGAACGAAGCACTTTTAATGGTTTTTTTTTTTCACTGAGTCATATGTTGTCATTTTTATTCCACTGCCATGTTCATGACATTCATAACCTTTACTCCAGCAGCTGCTGCAGGGCTTCCGGGGTCAACGGCTTTCACATAAAAAGGAGCCACCCCTCGCACCTAAAAAAAAAAGAAGCACTTTTAATGGTTTTTTTTTTTCACTGAGTCATATGTTGTCATTTTTATTCCACTGCTATGTTCATGACATTCATACCCTTTACTCCAGCAGCTGCTGCAGGGCTTCCGGGGTCAACGGCTTGCACATAACAAGGAGCCACGCCTCGAATGACAAAACCCCAGCCGAGTGCGTCACTTGTCACCTGGGATCACGGTAAGAGAATTCACTTTTCTTTTGACCATAAATAGTCTTCAAATCTCAAATAAAATATCTGATTTTAGTCATGGTAGTTTTATGATAAGGTAGTTTTACATCCATCCATTTTCCGATCCGCTTCTCCTCACAAGAGTCGCGGGGGGTGCTGGAGCCTATCCCAGCCGTCTTCGGGCAGTAGGCGGGGGACACCCTGAACCGGTTGCCAGCCAATCGCAGGGCACACCGAGACGAACAACCGTCTGCGCTCACACTCACACCTACGGACAAATTTCGAGTGTTCATTTTCCGCACACCCGAGGCACCGGGCCGGTACGGAGGAGCCCAGAGAGGTCAGGTGGGGCCAAGCCATTTCAAGATTTGAAAACAAATCATAGGATCTTAAAAAGAACTGCAAAATGAGCCTGTGAAGGGATGCCAGAGTAGGAGTGATGCGCTCCCTCTTACGAGTACCAGTCAAGAAGTGAGCAGCGTCATTGTGGGCCAACTGGAGACACTTAATGGAGGATCGGCTGACTCCAAAGTCAAATGCATTACAGTCATCCAGCGGGGGTGTGACTAACGCACGAATGACTGTTTCAAAGTGCTCTGCCTAAGGTGAAAGAAGCCAGATTCGACAACGGCACCAATTTGCCGGTCCAATGTCAAATGACTGTCCAGTTGAAGACCCAGAGCCAAGTTGGAGACTGTTGGCTTAAGATAAGGAGCCGGGGGACCCCCAAGTCCACAGGATGGGAAGTACAGCGGCCGCTGGGACCAAACACCATCACTTCTGTCTTCTTTTTCAGAAGGTTGAACCTTTGACTGTCAGGCACATTATGCTATAATAGTCCTACTTCATCAAATAATATGGAGTGTCCTGCAAAAAAATTGAGGAACGAGCCTAGAAGCAACTCACCGTCAACACTCTCTTGGTGAAGTGTGCTCCTGGTGCCAGCAACTCTTCACAAGTAAAATGTCTTTTCAGAACTGCAAGACCAAGCAAGCATTTCGACCTCGATTTGAACCAGAGGAATTGGACACTATCGCACTTTAATTGTATCCTTGCCTGATTTTGGATTGCTTCGAATGACCGGGGTCGAAGACAGACGAACAATTGGACCCAATCCTGCCGAGTCAAGCGGAGGGGAATCCAAGCTGCCTCGTCGGCCGGCACTCACGTGTTTCAGGTCTGGACTGGCTCCCGCTGTCATTCAATTGCGGGGGAAATCGCTTGAATGGAATTTGCAAGAAGCGGTGAAAGGAAATGCACAATTTACTAACCTGACCGGAAACCAGCGGCAGCCTCCCGGGCTGCATTTTCGAGCGGAACCAATGCGCGGTCAGGGTGGCTGTCTTCTCCTGTTGACCACACTGCGCCGTGATCACCATCCCGCTCCCGTTCACCCAGCAGTTCGGACAAGCGTCGTCTGCGCCGGAAATTGATGCAGAACTGATAGTGGAGTCCGCTGTCAAAGAAATCGTGTTTCTGGGCCACTAATGATGAGAGCAGAGGGGAAGCGATACACAAGAGGGAGCCGTTGTTCAGTTGAGGACTTGGTTTTTGCTGGAGCTGGCCGCCAACTGTTCATGTGGGCTCGCTGTTGTCCCACCGTGCTGCATGATGCCGTGCTCTTGTAAAGCGCAGCACAGCTCCAGGCCCTGGCACCGGCTCGCTGCCTCTCCGTTTTGAAGCAGCCAATCAATCAGCTGGCAGCCAGGAAAGGAGCGCTGATACACAACGCCGCACTCCTCTCGCTGCTGCAGAATGGAGCTCTTGTCCCCGCTAAGGCTACGGAGACAAGAAAGGCAGATGAGTGGATGATGCTTGATGATGCTTCGTACGCACACGCGCACACAAATTCACAAGCAAAGACGTTTTCAAAAACATCCACTAAGATGGCATTTGGGGAAAGGTTGGTGGGATCCATTCATTCATTCGATTTCCGATCCGCTTATCCTCACTAGGGTCACGGGGGGGTGCCGGAGCCTCTCCCAGCTGTCTTCGGGCAGTAGGCGGGGGACACCCTGAACCGGTTACCAGTCAATCGCAAGGCACACATTGACGAACAACAACCATCCGCGCTCACACTCACACCTCGGGACAATTTTTGAGTGTTCAATCAGTCTGCCATGCATGTTTTTGGAATGTGGGAGGAAACCGGAGTACCCAGAGAAAACCCACGCTGGCCCCGGGAGAACATGCAAACTCCACACAGGGAGGCCGGAGCTGGAATTGAACCCGGTACCTCTGCACTGTGAGGTCGACGCGCTAACCACTGGACCAGCGGGCCGCCCTGGTGGGATCCAGATTTTGTTTTTTTGAGATGATGATGAAGTAAATGCCGCAAAATCTCAAGTCATTGAACACAGTAAATGTGAGCAATAGCAATGGCGCGGCCGCTTGCTTTGCTCTCGTTGCACAGCAGGCCCATGACAGCATACCAACGGTGAAGCATGTAACAGTATGTAGCAATGGCACTTGTATACTTTGAATCATCCCAAAGTCCTGACGAAGTCGGAAAGGGAGAGATTATTTTGGCGCTTTGTACTCGATTTTTGTGCCGGTTGTGGTGGCTCGACTTTGGTCGTTTTGAACCTCTTACTGTTCATACAGTCGTTGTCCTCTCATGAAGAGTTTCACTTCTTTGTTGAAGGGAAATGTGCCGTCGTCTTTGCGGAAACGATAAAGCAGTTTGGCATCCTTGAATTCAGACCTCTTATCACAAACTACCCCGCACAAAAACAAACAAACAAACAAACAAACAAAGATTTGTTTTTGTGTATTGAAAGCATTCATGAATATCATCCGGGCGTGCCACTTTCCTTGCCCTTGTCTCGCTGCTCGTAGTTTACCGTGGTGAACAACGTCCCGGTCCATGAGGTGCTGCATCAGACGGACGGCCGTTGCCCGATCCGGTGCCTCCTCGTGGTTCACCAGCCAGTCGATGAGCTCCTCCGCTACAAAGCAGTTGGGGTATGTCCGTAGGTGGTACCGTCTGTCCTTGATCAGTTTTCCATCGTGAAGCCTCAACCTTGAAGGAAGTTCACACCACCCAGTCTCATTTGGACACGCCTCGGCGCCGTGGCCGCACTTTCCATCGTACCTGAGTTGTTCTCCAGCGATCATGACTTCGGCCGTATGTTGACGGGCTACGGCTTTTCTCCTGATGGCACTCGTCGGCTCCATGTTTGGAATCTCATGTCTGGGAGCACGTAAGCGAAGCGAATGCGTGCTTGTGGCCCTGATGCGTTTACATAATAGACGCCGACCAAATATCATGTGGGAAAGATGTTGTGTATACACGGATAAAGAGAAGCAACGACAGAGATGGCAGCATTCGATGAGTCGGACAGGAGTCGTATTTTTATTTGACCTTGACTGCCGTCAGGGAGCAAACAGGCCCCCGCTGCAAAGTCGAGTTGCCTTTTTTTCTTGTCCGCAGCGGTCCTCCAACCCTAACCTCAAACCCTTCCGTTCCAAAGCCCAAGTCCTGACAGATGAGCTTTACTGCGGCCGGGAAATAAGGGTGTGCATTGGGACTGTGTGCCACAGAAATGCCCGAACATGACCAAACTTGACATTTGAGTTTGCCTTTACATCCTTAAGGCAACCCGGTGGTGGACTGGTTTGCGCGTCGGCCTCACAGTGCAGGGTTGGATTCCGGCTGCGGGGCTTCCCATGTGGCATTTGCATGTTCTCCCCGTCCGTGCCTGCGTGGGTTTTCTCCGGGTACTCCGCTTTCCTCCCACACTCCAAAAACATGTGTGTCAGGTTAATGGAACACTCCAAATTGTCCCTAGGTGTGAGTGTGAGTGCGGATGGTTGTTCGTCTTTGTGTGCCCTGCGATTGGCTGGCAACCGGTTCGGGGTGTCCCCCGCCTTCTGCCCGAAGACAGCCGGGATAGGCTCCAGCATGCCCCTTGTGAGGATAAAACGGATCAGAAAATGGAGGGCTAAATGGCTGGTTCGCCCGCGCTCCAACAAATGACCAGGAGATGTCAGCATTGGCTTAGCGGAGCCTCGGACCAACGCCACCCGCTGGTGTCAGGTGACTTCTCTTCCGTGAACGTTTCGTGTACGTGTGAAATGTGTGTTGTCGAGTAAGCGCGACGAGGCCACTTTTGGTTTACTGATTACGTGTTTTAACCGGAGCCGGTGGATTGAAAAGTTGTCTCTTACACCCGCTCCTTTGGATCTTGTGCCTACGTATTCAATTGCATGTGTACTAATGTCATCGGTAAAAGCCAAAAGTTGGTGGAAGTCTGACAAGCTGCAAACGAGATGCGGACGGCTGCGTGCGTGACGTGCGTCGGTCAAGTGATGGTCACGAGCAACTCTCGCCTTTTCATGCAAATGTCCTCCTGCGCGTTGTGATTGGTGAGCGGCGTGGAGGTGTCGTCCGGGGAGGGGGGGGGGCGGTGACACGGATCGCGTGCGGCTTTATGAACTAACTGTGCCCCCCTCCCTTTTGCACAGCTCGACGAGTACGCCAAGTCCTCGGGCACGAGTGGAGCCTCACTCAGTTCTTGCCAGTTGGACGGCGTTGCGGTCGCGTTTTCCCTTCTGGGCGGAAGTCTCGTTTTGATGAAGGTTTTCTGGGGAGTGGGCGAGTGCCATTCCAACGACCGCATGAACTAGTTGTGGACATTTGTCAAGAGAGCGTCTGAAGGCGGAGATGAGCAGCGAGGCGCACTCGCATTTGGGACTGCAGAAGCCCCCCATGAATTTCGTCAGCGACTTCGACTTGATGAAGTTCGGCGTGAAAAAGGAGGCGATGCAGGCGATGGAACGATCCCTGATCGGGCCGTGCAACCAGCTCCACAGACCGGACTCCGTGTCCTCCACCCCCGGGAGCACACCTGGCAACTCGATGCCCTCGTCGCCAAACCTGCCTCCCAGCGAGCTGCGAAATAACCCCGAGGACCCGTTTTGGATCCCCAACAACGGGGCTTACCCTCACCCTCAGATGTACCCGCAAGCGTTCGGGCTGACCCCCGAGGACGCGGTCGAGGCCCTGATCGGGGCCACGACGCAGCAGGGACACCCGCCCGCGCCTCACGCTCACCAGCAGCCGCCCTTCCCGGTTGAGTACGACGGCTACAACCAGCTCGGCGAGACTGCCCACCACTACTCGCAGCTCTCGGCGCCCCCCGAAATGCTCCCCAGCAGCCACTGCCAAGACCCCTTCCTCAAGAATGACGTGGGCAGCGCCTCCCCACCGTCGCCCGGAGAAGTCAGCGTCGCGCACCACCCGCACCCGCACCTTCAGGGGCAGCACCGGCGAACCGGCGCCGAATGCCACTTCTCAGACGACCAGCTGGTGTCCATGTCGGTCAGGGAGCTCAATCGGCTGCTCCGGGGCCTCAGCAAAGACGAAGTCATGCGCCTGAAGCAGAAGCGGCGGACCCTGAAAAACCGAGGCTACGCGCAGTCGTGCCGCTACAAGCGCGTCCAGCAGAAACACATCCTGGAGCACGAGAAAACCAGCCTGGTGTCCCAGGTCGAGCAGCTCAAGCACGAACTGAACAGGCTGGTCCGGGAGAGGGACGCGTACAAACTGAAATGCGAGAAACTGGCCGGCGCCAACGGTTACCACGAAACCGGCTCCACCAGCGACAACCCTTCCTCGCCCGAGTATTTAATGTGAAGCGCGTGGCGAGGTCTGCGCGAGACGCCCGGGAGCTTCTCTTCACTAGCCGGCAGCCAACTTCGCTTTTGAAACAATCACTTCGCCGCCGCATTGTTGAACTCAGCCGAGACTCCAAATCGATCAACTCCTCGCAGAGCCGTTCGACGAGCCCAAGCGAGCATGCATGCGGGACATGTGTGAGCAGCTCCTCATATCGAGACATGGCCGCATTTTGGGGGCGGGGGGGAATCGCACACTTGAAATCACCCCCGCGGTTTGATTCAATTCCCTGGACTTCGTATGATTGACACCGTTCACTTTTGCTTTTCCTGATCTTGCTGTTGCTCGGACTTGTTTTCTTTTCTGACCGCATCGCGAATTCCTCTTCGAAGACAATGATGCAAAGTTTCTCCGCAGCGATATTTTTACTCAGCTAATTCTGCTGGACAGATGTCTTCTTTACTCGCTTGTCTTTTTTAAAGGAGACCCAATTATGCAAAATGGTTTTGTCTTTTCATATACTCTGGATCAATAAAACTATGGTGACTTTTTCTACCACGTTTCATCTCTTTGAGTATCTTTTTTTTTCGGCTTCAAAAAAAAAACGTCACTTGCAAATTTGTAAAAGTCTGCTATATTTTAAAATGGCTGCAGTCATTCACCAACACACCTGGTAAACTTGAAATGCACGCAAGATGCATCCGGCGTAAGAGGAAGGAAATTTGGATTTTGGATCCGTGATTTGTAACCTGAAAAAAGGTCGAACAAAAAGATTGAGAACAACATCACATGACTAATGTGCAGTTGGTGGTATGAGGTGTTTGTCGAAGCAAATTAGCGGAAAGGTCTCTTCCTTTTCGAATACTATTAAAAATACCCCCCCACACCTCACCTCCCCCAAATCATTTTTGCGCAAATAAAGGGACAAGTGCTTTCTCTCCCTCTATGACCTTTGGCCTTCAAGGAGCGCCGCTTCCTGTGGGCTGCTGACATGTGAAAGCACAGGAGGCGGGCTGGCAGGGGCTGTGGGGCACAGATAAAACGGAGTGGAAATCGGGCTTCCCTTGGTCTCCCTTCCTCGGACAAACAAATCAAATGTGTATTCCGTGAGGGAGGAAGCGAGGAACGGCGACCCGCGGCAGGACGGGCAGACACTCCTCCGGACACTTCAAGAGGAGCGTTTGCACTCGATGCCTTTTCTTCCCTTCGGCACCTTTTGCCACTTTGTCATCCCTCGGCACGTTTCGTCCACACATTTCCTTCCCAGTTCAGGAGCGCGCAATTATTTGGACGACCCACTGGCTGCCAATGTGATAGGTGGTCTCAATATAATGACAAGTGACTTTCGACTCGGCCATACGTCGTTGAGCCTTCCGCTTTCAAAGACGACTTGACAGCCCCGTCTTGTGTGAGCGTTCGGGGCTCAGCGGCCGGCTCACTTCAAGGGCTGCGTCTTTTCTGACGGGACGGCGGTTTTCTCTCACGTTTGACCCCTGACAGTTCTCTGCTCCCCCTTCTTCCCACAGGTGCAAAAGCACTTTTTCCCTTTGAAAACAGACTTTGGCCCCGGAGCCCTTCCTGCTGCTCTGGGACGACAGGAATGAAGGAATATGGCGGAAAACACACTCACTACTCAACAACGCAGGTGTCCCAGCGCAATCGAGAAGGCCGGCCAATGCGTGACAAAAATGTCAACGATTACAACGCCGGGTATAATCCAGCATTATCATCAGTGCAATTTTTCTTTTTTTCAGATTGTGCAGAGGTACCCGGGTTTGTAATTGAGTCCATATTTCAAGCAGGGTATAAAAGCCACTCTTTGACATGTTGAATTGCACCCGTCAAATGTGGGAAGAAAAAGGACATTTGAATAATTACATCATCACAATCTTTCAATAAACAGCAAGTCAGTCGTAATGTTTTTTTTTTGTTTTTTTTTTTTTTACATTTTATGATGTCACATTTACAAGACATTACATAAGTCATGAGGTCTCACAGTATTTGCGTTTATGAACTTGGCATGCTCAAATGCATTTTTTTTTTCATAGCCCTTTCAGGAAGTGGCTTGTTCGAGTCTTTGCGCACTTTCAATCAATGCACTGGGATTTGTAAAAGCATCGGCAGCCTGACAGAGCGACGGCGTTGGCGGGGAGAGCGCGTGTGTGTGTGGCGCTGCGTGACAATGCCCGAAAAGCACTTTTTCCCTTTGAAAACAGACTTTGGCCCCGGAGCCCTTCCTGCTGCTCTGGGACGACAGGAATGAAGGAACAGATAATATGGCGGAAAACACGCTCACTACTCAACGACGCAGGTGTCCCCGCGCAATCGAGAAGGCCGGCCAATGCGTGACAAAAATGTCACTTTTCCAACGATTACAACGCCGAGTATAATCCAGCATTATCATCGGTGCAATTTTTCTTTTTTTCAGATTGTGCAGAGGTACCCGGGTTTGTAATTGAGTCCATATTTCAAGCAGGGTCTAAAAGCCACTCTTTGACATATTGAATTGCACCCGTCAAATGTGGGAAGAAAAAGGACATTTGAATAATTACATCATCACCTTTGGACCTGAGATTTCATACTCAGGTTGTCTGAACACGTTTGGTGACTGGCTTGTGAAAATGTGCATTTTCCAAGAAGCGTGCGCTAATCAGCTGCGTAAACGTTTGTTGCCTTGAAACAAACGGCGCTGATCAAGGAGCCAACTGTTTGCTCACAATGGCGACTGTTGCTATCTCCTCTGGCGACGGCTTCGTTTTGACCCCGAGAATCAGGAGAGCTCCACGTCCAGGCCGCTTTTTCTTGGCGGTCCTTTTGCGAGAGCGAGAGCCCAATACCGACGGTCGTCTGCGAGCGCGGCGTCACGTGAGGCGCAGAGGAGAGATTTGGACGGAGGGCAGGATGAACGAGGGGCTTCCTCTTTCACTTCCCAAATGAGGACCCAGTCAAGTGACTCTTTGTGAGAGTGTTAAGCTTGTATGTCGCAGGAAAACACAGCTTGGATGGCTGCGGTTTCCGCTCAGGATGTCCAGTCGTTTCTGGGCAGTTGTGACACCGTGAATCATGCCGTGATCACACACGTTGCCGTCAACATTGCACGCACACAAATGTCAAAACGGTGCATGAGCAGTTCCTCCTCATTTATTTACGCAGTGGATATTCTTTCCAACATATATGTATTTATATTAGTGCTGTCAAATGATGAAAATATTTAATCACGCTTAAATGTATAAATGTCCTGATTAACTCAATGACACATTTTTATCGATTCTAAATTTCCTTTGATTTCTTTTTGTCGTATTTTTCCCATTTTAATGCTGTCACCAACATGGAATCGTGGATCAGTTTTCTTTGTGCAAAATGCAAATATTTACTGAAATAACAATTTTGCTTTTCAATTTCACATTAAACATTTTTCACTTGGAGCAGTTATTCAAACTTGGAGTACATTTTATAATTTTAGAGCAACGTAACATCCGCTGCGACGTGATGCCGTAATAATCTGGCGATAAAAAATATTCATCCCGTTAAAATTGATTTAAATTAATGCCGATAACGCGCTAAGATGACAGCACTAGTTAAAATGCATTTTAATACGTTCATTCTTTGCAAGCCAGGGTCATTTTTGACTGGTTTCCATATCCCGAGCGATTTCCTTGGTAGATACGAGCGTAATACTGGCAATGACTAATGTCATCACATGACATGCTCAGTGAGCGGTTTAATGTGTAGCTCCTCAACGACAATAAAGCTGGGGGAGTTATCTTATTGGTGGCCCTACGGCTTCCTTGGGATGTGGTGTTCAGCTTTTATATATGCATGAGGCTTCTGGGCATGGTTTAAGACGGCCTGCTGATAAACAAGTTGTCACGTTCCACGGGCCGCCGCTGAGGCGGCTTTGACAAAGTCCCGTCACATTACAGACCGTGCACTTTGATCGGAGAGCAAAGGGTGAACTTCTGTCATGTCAGAATTGGAGAGATTCCTCCCGTCGTGACAGAACAACAATGGAAAGCGCAGGACTGAATGATGTTGCTATTTGTGATCTTTCTGCTTCATTAGTATGACACTGCAACTTTAAAGGATAAGTGAGGCCAGGCATTGTGGAGGGGCGGGGGTGGAGGGGGGTTGGGGGGGGGGGATTTTCCAAGAAAGCCAAGCCCTTTCCCTTTCTTTCCCTGTTAGGATTTCCTGTCCTGTTTTATGGGGGTCATGCAGCTGGCAGGCGCCCTCCTGTTTGTGCCCACAATAATGACAGGCATCCATTAGTGCACGGCCGAAACACAAGTCACAGAGGTTAACTCCGTCACCTACTCCCCACCCCGCCCCGCCCCGCCCTCCTATCGTTCGGCCTGATAATTGTCTCTTAGTTTCGGTCGAGCAAAGCTTAGCTGATTAAAAGTCGGCTTCTGCACGCCGCAAACTGACGAGTTCAACCGAGCGAACGCACGCTATCTGCAATGCTCCGCATTGTATCTCCTGAGCACAACGTGACACATGCTGACATCGAGGGAAGTACGGAGGGGTTGTTTTTATTTTGGTTTGCTATGTTTTCCTCAAGGAGGCTGATGGAACCCTGCAAGATGCTCTTTTTCGGGGATCTGTCCCTTTTTTACTGAACCTCGTTGATCTGTGTTCAGCGATAGCAGCCCAACACGGTGCAGGAGACAACATGGCAGTGGTGTCATATGTTCTGGAGAACTCTCACAAGACTGCTTGAAACTGGGTGTGTCACTCTCCCACTCATGTGTCATGTTAACATCTCTGTCGTGTCATAAGTTGTCTCTCCAAAGTCGGCTGTGAAACTTGAAGTCGTGTTGCTACTTTTACACGTGGGCAACGCGGTGCAAATCTTCTCCGCAGCACCGGCACCGCAGCACCGGCACCGCTTTTTTCACAGTCAGAGAGACGAGACCAACGCGCAGCATGTGAGGCATCTATTTAAGGCCCGTACGCCACAGCGTAAAGGAAGTGCCATACGCCGACTTTGCTCTGGTTCCCTTGAATGCCGTCTGACATTGGATCTGCTGTTGAACAGTGCAAAGTTGTTTTGTCCGGATGCTCTCGCCGAGACGCATGCGTATATTTATAGTGTGCCGTATGGTCGTCAAAATACGGTACTCTATCTCCGTGCCCTGCGATTGTGCGAATGGATTTCCAGTGCATTTGATGCACACTGGTTTTTCGCCGATGGAAAAGAAAGTGAGAGAAAGTTCCCATGGACCTCTCTCCCTATTTGAATGAAGATGTGCTTCTCCCCAGGAATGCCAGGACCCAACATGATTCGTGCTGATGTTTTGGAGAGTTTTCTCGTCACCACTCAACAGCTTGCGATCCTCAAGTGTTTGTCAGAGCACGTATCCAATTCATGATGAAGGACGGCCCGCTCGAAAGGGCGCAAGGGTCAGATTGCGATATCAACCATCAGCACGCTTCTGATCAATCGTCAACCTTTCAGGCATTATGTTTGTTCGCTGCCAGATTAAGAGCAAGGTACCTGTAGATTGTAAAGGATGTGCCGATCCGGTGGAGCAAACGTTACTGAGCTCAAAGTGACTTTATT